AAATGTAGCCAAGACCTTATTTCGACTCTGCTAATAGCTGCTAAGGTGGTTATTGCGAGTAGCTGGAAATCTACCGACAAACTTCTTCTTTCCTCTTGGCGTTTAAAAATCTGGGACTTTTACATCATGGACAAACTTTCTGATGCAGTGGCTTCCTCTACTAATAGTTCATGTTCAAAATCTACTTTATGCACGAAATGGTCTCCTTTTTTAGAATATGTTTTTAATAATGACACTTTGCTGTTCCTTCTCAGTATGTTGCAGTGTTTCATTACATGTAATTTTGTGTTGGTCATATTTATACCAAATCCCATTGTTGTTTATTGTACTATAGAGTAATAAAATATTTAAAAAAATAAATAAAAAAATAAAAAAGAACCACTATATATGTAAACCGCCCAGAGACACTCCAGGGTTAGGGCGGTATAGCAAGTTGAAAGTATAAATAAATATAAATAAAGGGGTGTTTGGGGGATTTTCCATTCCCAATATATTGTCGGGACTGACATCTGGGAGTCAGTTCCGACACGAAAGTTGCCTACTTGGATCCTTTCTTTCTCCAAATAAACAAATCTTGCTGCTACAGGAGTGTTCCTGAGACTGATTGCATTCCAGGCCTTGACAGATGGCTTAATTGCTTTTTAAAGCCATTACTGTTTTTCCTTAGTGTTTTCATTAATAAAGCCTGTTTCTTTGGGGATTTCTGTGTACTTACAAAAGGGTTTTGTGGATAAACCGACTTAAAGGTCCTGGTGTGGCTAAAAAGCAGATAACAGATGATCTAATCTCTGGATGGTTTCCTCCCCCCTTTGTAGGAAACTTCGCTGGCACAGCTTCCAGAACTCCCACCGCCCCAGCCTGACCTCGGCCTCCTTGGAGATCAGCCACCAGTCCGCTGCGCAGCTCCACCTGCTCCAGAAGTGTTCCCTCCTCTGCCTCACTGCCATCATGGAAAAATATGCGGCTCCTCACAAGCAGACCTGGGCATGGTGAGCAAATAGTGGAGAACACCCACAGGCAGGGAGAAGCCCCCCTCAATAGAAATTGGTTAGAGCAAATTGTGGGTGGGTCGGGTGTAATGGGAGGCAGCCCCCTTTAAGCTGGGCCTCGGCGGCAGTGGTTTACTCTTTCCCCTCCCCGGCCCCCTTCTGGCCATTGCAGAGGAGGATACTCTGATTCACAGAAACGTGTGTTTGGACTGTGTATGACCAGCCAGGCATGTGTAAAAGGCAACGAGGGCTGCCACTAACGGTTGGATAGTATTTCCCCTGTTTTCATTCTGAAATCAGATTCAGGCTGTTTGGGGAAAGACATCAGAGCAGTTTGGTGGGAGAGAACACGCTAGGCCCATGCTGCAGACCTTGAGGGCGAGAGGGTCAGTTGCCAGGAGAAGTGCCTTTCCGCCGCCGAGGGGGTTTTCCAATCGCAGTGCCTCCTCGTTTCCTGCCCAGTTGATGGAGGACCTTTGCTAATGTGGGAGCAGCCCCAGGTTTCACGGCTTCTTGGTCTCCTCCCAAACTCAGGCACATGAGCTCCATTCACTGGTGCAAGGGACAAGGGAGTGAACCCGTGTGAAGAGGGGAATAGTTGCAGTGGCCTGGGAGAAGACCACTCCCGGACGCCAGCTGGCCCTACAGAGGGTGGGCCCAGGGGCAGCCCCTCTCTGTCTTCATTCCTCTGGTGCTGATCTTTCCCCCCTCTTGTTTGTGTCCGGTCCATCTTCTTCTCTGGTAGCACGAGTTTAAGATTCTCTTTGTAAGCCCCATCCCTTTCTCTAACAGGACTGTTCCTAAGTTCATGAAGAGGAGCAAGGCCCCCAGCTACAAGGACAAGGTGGTCTTTGGGGTTCCCCCCGTCATCAGTGTGCAAAGGACAGGACAGCCCCTCCCCCAGAGCATCCAGCAGGCCATGCGCTACCTCCGTCGCCAGTGCCTCGACCAGGTGAGAGCGGGTGGGCCCCGGTGGCTCCCGCTTCCCACAACTCCCTGAGGACACCTCCACTTGCCTCCTGGTGCTTCCCCTGGAGGCTGCCCCTCTGGCCTGCACGGGCCTGGCATCAGCCCCTGCTCTTCCCTGGGGCTCCCCTCCTGCTGAGGCAGGTCGTAGGCAGAGAGGGGCTGTGGTGCCGCTGGAAGCTGCTGTGGCAACAGCAGTGTAGTGCCTGAGACGGGACAGAGGAGTCTGGGACTTCTCCAGGCCCAAAGGACTCCTGCAGATCCTGCGAACCCTCCTGCGGCTCAGCCCTGCAGTACTGGGGCTGACACCTGTCCATGGGGAAGGCATCTGGGTGGGTGGGGGGTCTGACTGCAGGAGGGGCTGGTGTGATCCACCCCCTTCCACTCCGTGTGTTCCTGGGGCAGGCCTCTGTTAGAACAGGTGGATCTGCTGCCGCCACGTTTCGCCTCCCCCAGCAGAGGAGATCCCAGCCTTTGGGAAGGGCACGCTGCTCTCCAGACTGAATTTCCCCCCACCCAATCACACTCAGCCAGTGGCCCCTGACCTTTAAAAATAACGAACTGACATACTAAGCAGGGCCCCACAGGAGCAGACCAGTAGTCCGTGATCCACCTAGACCGGCATTCTGTTTCACGCAGTGGCCAACAAACAGAGCACAGAAGCCCTCCCCTACTCCTGCCTCCTGGCACTGGTATTTAGAGGCCCACCATCTCTGAATGCAGCAGTTCCTTTTGGTCACCATGGCTTGTAGTCACTGATGGCCCTGTCCTCTATGACTCTGTCCAGTCCCCTTTTAAAGCCTATAACTATCACTACATCCACTGGTGGTGAATTCCACAGGTTAATTATCTCTATCTCTATATATAATAATTCTGTTTTGGAGTGGCAACATTCCATGCACTCCCTCAGCCATTGGCCTGTCAGCCGCCACTCAAGAGTAATCGCGTGCCATTGGCCGGGTGCTGGGTCTGCTCCTCTTCCCCGCCCACTCCCCCTTCAGCCACTGTGCCCTGTCAGAATTACTGGCAAACAGCTTTCTCTCTTGACAAAGATGCTTCTCCTGCTTGCCTCCCATGTGGGACTGACTGTTCCCACAGTGGCTGTTGGTAGGTGTCACAAAATGGCAGTTACCTGTGTTTGTAAGATGGCTGTGGTTCTTTGTTTAAAATGTTCTCCCATAAGGTTTAATTGAGCTGTAGTTCCAGAGAGGGGCCTACAGGGGTATCACTCAATGGGTTGAATGGGGCTTCCTCATCTGCTGGCTTACAGTTCCCAACTGCCTCAAGGCCAAATAGTGCGGGAAAACAGGGACTGTCCCAAGGCAGCCTTCATCCCTGGGAGGCAGCAGAAATTCAGCTACTCCACAGTCGGCTGGACTGGGTAATGAATGGAAGTTTCCCTGCCCACAACCTCCAGAGGTAGAGAGTATTGTGTGTAGGGATATAGTCTCCCCCACTCTGCACAATACCAAAGGGAGGGGGTAGCCTAGGGGAGCAAGGAAAGGCCAGACCCTTGGGTTGCCAACTTTCCAGGGATCCCCCAAAGATTGGGGATTCCATCTCCAAATAGGAAGATTCGGCCAGAGGGGTCTCACTGTCCCTCTAAAAAGGCAGTGACAATTCAGTGAGTGGTGGCAGCAAACTTAAGGAGTGAGATACGCCCATGGGACGAGGGTGGGAGGCAAACGGCTGAGTTGTAAACTGGAGTCTGTTTTGCCATGATAGGCAACCAAGCTTGGTTCAAACAAAGCAAGGAAACCCTTTGCAGGCCTTTGTGAGGAACTCATTGGGGGCAGTCCTGGAGATTTTCTGGTAGAGTCTATGGAAGCGAGGCTTTGGGGAGGGGAGAGGCCTCAGCTGAACAGAATGCCATACAGCCCACCTTCCAAAGCAGTTATTTTCTCCCGAGGGGAGAGATCTCTTGTCCGGGTGTTCAGTTGTGATACCTGGTGATCTTCAGGCTCCACCTGGAGGTTGGCTGCCCTAGGCGTAGCAGTCAGTGCTTCGGAGCAAGGTCTGCTAGATCCAGGTTCTTGCTGTAGAAGCTGAGTGGGTGATTTTGGACCAGTCACAGACTTTCAGCCTAACCTACCTCACAGGGTTGTTGTGCAAGTCAGAAGGGGGAGAGGAGAATGATGTAAGCTGCTTTGGTCCCCATTGCAGAGAAAGACTACTTTTCCTCCTGGGAAACCATTGTTGCCAATCTCCAGGGCTGGAGATCACTCAGAATTACAACTGCTCTCCAGATGGCAGAGATCAGTTCCCCTGGAGAAAATGATGGACTCTGTGGCAGTCAGGGCTTCAGAGCACGGAAGAGGGTGCAGGTGTGTGTGTGTGGGGGAAATAGAAAGCTGAAGCGAGAGGGGGAAATAAAAGTAGGTTGATTATTGGCTGGGAAGGAGATAGGGTTGCCAACTCCAGGTGGGAAATTCCTGGAGATTTGAGGGATGGAACCTGGAGTGGGTGAGGTTTGAGGAGGGGACCTCAGACAGGTACTTTGCCATAGACTCCACCCTCCCAACCAGCCATTCCCTTCTGGGGAACCACTGTTGCCAATCTCAGGAGAGGGGTGGAAATCACTCAGAATTACAACGGATCTCCAGGAGGGAGGGGAGAGGAGCTGCAAAGCTGAAATCAGAGGGACAGATAACGGCAGGCTGATGCTTGGCTGGGAAGGAGATAGGGTTGCCAACTCCAGGTTGGGAAATTCATGGAGATTTGAGGGGTGGAGCCTGGAGAGGGTGAGGTTTGAGGAGGGGTAGGACCTCAGACAGGTACAATGCCATAGACTCTACCCTCCAAACCAGCCATTCCCTCCTGGGTAATAATTGTTACCAATATCCAGGTGAGGGGTGGAGATCACTCAAAATTATAACTGCTCTTCAGGTAGCAGAGATCAGTTCCTCTGGAGAAAATGGTGGACTCTGTGTCCTTATACCCTGCTGAGGTCACCACAGCACATGGACGCTGAGTGGCCAGGGCCTTGGCACTCTCCCAGAGCCTCTTTCTAGAGCTTGTTGTATTTATTTCCACGACGGGCCTTGTTTTTATTTTTTCTTTCTCGAATGATCACCTGTTTCCTCCTCTCTTGCCTTTGACCAGGTCGGCATTTTCCGCAAGTCAGGGGTGAAGTCTCGGATCCAGGCCCTGAGACTTATGAATGAGGTCTCGCCAGAGGGTGTGGATTACGATGGGCAGTCAGCTTATGACGTGGCGGACCTGCTGAAGCAGTACTTCCGGGACCTCCCAGAACCCGTTTTCACCAGCAAGCTCACAGACACTTTTTTACAAATTTACCAGTGTGAGTGGAGAAAAGAGCAGAGAAAGAGATACCAGGGGGGGGGCTGTTGTTGCTTGTCCCTCACAAGGGACCGAGTGTAGGACTTCAGCACGTGAGGCTGAGAATCTACGATGAGAGACCACCTGTGGAGAGCAGATTTGAGTTGGGGCCACACTGTGCTGGGATGGGGGGGGGGTTAGCGCTTTCCCCTCCACTGTCCCCTCCCAACTGGAAATCGTAGGGGAATCAAACAAGTGGGGAAGGAGCGCCCCCTCTCCTGCTTCCCCTGGGGGCCCCCTGGCAAGAGGGGAGCGCTGGCCCAGACCGTCTCGGAAGTGTCCCACTCCCGCCAAACAGTGTCTCCCTGATGGTGGCTGTCACGCTGCCATTCGGAGAGAAAAGGCTGTGGGATGCAAAGGGAGAGAAGGTGTCTCTGCCCCCTCCCCAGTAAACTGAGGGGAGAGGTTCTCCCACTCCAGCCGGAGCCAGGGATTTCCTGGACGTCATTGTACAGCCCACATTGGAAGCTACTTTCTGCATCGTTAGCAACAAACAGACTGGAGACGTGGCTGTCCCCCCCCCCCCCCCCCCCCGTAGCTGGTGACATCACAGAAGCAGGAGCTGGGCTGGGCTCGTTGCCCCTGGAGGAATAGGAGCAGACCGAGGGGGCTCTCAGGCAAATCTGGAAACAGGAGTTCTTCTTGTGCCCAGTGGCTCATTGTCTGCCCCCTTCAGTTGTCCCCAGGGAGCAGAGGCTTCAAGCGACGCAGGCGGCCATCGCGTTGATGCCGGACGAGAACCGCGAAGTGCTGCAGACGTTGCTCTATTTCCTCAGCGACATCGCAGCCGCCCAGGAGAACCAGATGACAGCCGGGAACCTCGCAGTGTGCCTGGCGCCCTCCCTCTTCCACCTCAATGCCTCCAAGAAAGAGAGCCCCTCCCCACGGTGAGGGCGGGGGGAGGGGGAGGACTGCCCGGCCACCACAAGGCCTCTCCCTTTCCTCTCTGCTCTGCCCTTTGGACGGGGGGGTGGGTGGGCCGGGCGGGAGCACACACAACCCCCGATGAAGGATCCTGCAGTCGAAGGCTCCCTCCTCAGTGAGACCGGCTGGCTCGTATATCCCATTGACCAAGATGAGAACCTCTTATCCCGGCTTGCTTCACCTGGAGTAACAACCACCTCCTCGTTCCCCGCAGGGTATCACTAAAGCAAGAGTCCTCCATCTACCCAGTGCAGCTGGAGGGGGTGGGGGGTCCGTTGTCCCACCCCAGCTGTAAATACAAAAGGGAGTGTGGGAGCCCGCATCCCCCCCCCAACCCTCACATGGAAATGTTCACTCATGTTTCCTGCGCAGATCGTGGCAGCAGCGTGGTGGGTCCCTTCCTGCCGGCTCCATCTCTTGTGTGGAGGGCATGGTGGGAAGGGCTGCTCGGTGTTATGGCGGGGAGGGGGGCACGTGGGGGGGAGT